TCAGTCTCTCGCAGGTTCCTTAAGAATCCTTGCCTGCTGAAAAGCATTACAATAAATCTCTGCCACCTTGGCTTGAAGAATGCTTGAGTCTGTGCATTTATTCCAGACGATCCGGCCTGTACTCCAGTCTTTGAGGGGTCTCAATCTCTCAGACCACAACAATACTACCTAAGAATTATCAGACTATCTGAAAATCATGACCAAAAACCAAAGCAAAAATCTGAATACATACATCAAGAAATTTTAGAATAAAATTGCTCAAAACTCTTAGGACAAGAAGGAAAAATAAAAATAAAAAGAACCCACCAATGAGCTCTCAAAAGAAATCTCCCAAATTAAAACTCTTAGGAACATCGCAGACAAAATCCAGAATTTCAAGGTCAGAGAAGCAGCCAAAAAAGAAAGAGTTCAAGTACCAAGGGATTGCAATAATGATTATACAAGTTCTAGCAGCTTCCACTATGAAGAAAAGGTGGAGAGAACAATATTCCCAAAGAGAAAAGATAAAGGTTCACAACCAAAAATAACCTCACCAGCAAAACTAAGTAGAATCATAAAGAGAAAAAAAAAAGCTATTTAATAGAATATAGTATTTCCAAGCATTCCTGATGAAAAGGGCAAAAATGAGTAGATGTTTTGAAATGGAAATGCAGGAGCCATGAGAAAGATAGAAAGGCACATATATTTGTTTAATTGGAAGGGCATATGTGCATATGGAGGCAGCTAGCTATAGTGGAGAGAGCACTGGGCCTGGAATCAGGAAGACTCATCTTCCCTAGTGCTAATCTGGCCTCAGACACTTACTAGTTGTGTGACCCTGGACAAGTCACTTAACCCTGCTTGCCTCAGTTCCTCCCCTGTAAAATGAGCTGGAGAAGGAAATGGCAAACCACTCCAGTGTCTTTGCCAAGGAAACCCCAAATGGAGGTCACAAAGAGTCAGACATAACTGAAATGACTCAACGACAACAAAAATGTGAATGTGAATTGTTTACGTGGTAATGGGGGATAAGAAACAGAAGACATACCTGTAAGCGTCCTAGAGAAAGGTACATAGAACAGGGGAGCTGCAGGTTCTTTTCTTCTGCTTTGATGGTCTTAGGAGGAGACAAAAAAGAGAGTAACAAGGGACAATCCTGGGGGGGAAAAGGTGGAAAAAAGGGAGGGAAATCACTATTATAAGAGAGATGCATAAGATGAATCACATATATCCATGGAGGAAGCAGTAGGGGGAATGGGCATCCCATGAGTTTCACTTTCATCTGAACCAGACTAATTTGGAACACTGAACACTAATATCCTCCCCCTTTCCCTACACACAGAAATTTTGGTATAGAAACACATTAAGCTCAAAAGGGAAGTAGGAGTGGACAGGTTCAAGGGAGGGGGAGAGAAGGACCTAAGAGGAAGGTAAGGTAAAGTAAGGTAGGAGAGCAGGAGAATCATCATAAGCAAAAGAAACTCAAATAAACCCTAACTCTAATCTTAACCCTAATTGTGAATCAAGAGTTAAAAAGAAAGGAAGAAAGAGTAAAAACCTAGCATCAGGGCAAGGAGAAGACAAGAGCTACAACTGAGCAGAAATAGGCCACTTCGCTTATAGATCACCCAAGTCAGGCAAACTCCCTCTCTATTGCCACCTTCTAATGGTTGATAAACAAGGGAGTGGAAGCAAAGAGAGGAAAGAGTACAAAAGGACAGGAGGGAGAGAAATACACATTTAGTAGTCATAACTAAACTTGAATGGGATGGACTCACCCATAAAAAAGAAAAGGATCACAGGATGGATAATAGAATCTGACAATATGTTGTTTATGGGAAGCACAAATATTCACATAGCATTAAAACCAGCTCATGCTTCAGCTGAACTGTTAAAAAACCAGGGTAAACAAACATGATTTCAGAAAAGCTTATAATAAATATAGACATGATAAAAAGAAATACACTGACATTACACTTAAAGGCACCATAGAAAATGAATCAATAACAATATTTAATACATAAGCACCAAATAGCATAGTATCTAAATATTTAAAGGAAGAGTTAATCGAATTGGAGGGATAAATAGATAGTAAAATTATAATGGAGGGGGAACCCTAACCCTTTTGGACCTAGACAAACCTAACCAAAAAATAAACAAGAAGTCAAGGACCTGAATAGAATTTCAGAAAAATTAGAGATGATAGATCTCGGCAATTACTGATCAGGAATTGTTGTCGTTCGGCCATTCATTTGTGTCCAACTCATAGACCATTGCATGTCAATACTGTCCACGGGTTTTTTTTTTGGCAAGGATACAGGAATGATTTGCCTTTGCCTTCTCCAGTGGATTGAGGCAAACAGACTTTAATTGACCTGCCCAGGGTCACACAGCTAGTAAATATCTGAGGTCAGATTTGAACTCCTAACTCTAGGCCCAGCACTCTAGTCACTGAGCCATCTAGCTGCCTCAGAATAGAAATAGAAAGGAATGTCTGCTTCTCTTAGCTGTCCATGGCAGCTTTATAGAAACTGGTCATGTACTGGGGCATAAAGAGCTCTTTATAAAGCAGAAATACTAAGCACATAATTTAATGACCATAGTGCAATAACATTAATTCAATAAAGGGCTTTTAAAGAGTGAATTGAAAAGTAATTGGAGACTAAATAGCATATTTCTAAAGAACTGGTGGGTCAAAGAGCAAATTATAGAAACAACAGAAAATTTCATCAAAGAAAGTGACAGCAATGTGATGCCATGTCAAAACTTATGGGATCCTGATAACAGTTCTCAGGGAAAATTTCGTATCTCTAAACAATTTCATCAACAAATGAGAGAGAACAAATCAGTGAATTGGGCACACAATTCAAAAAAGTGGAACAACAACAAATAAAAAATTCCCACATAAGCAACAAAGAAGAAATTCTGAAAATTAAATAGATTAATAAAATAGAAGCAAAATGACCATTGAACTGATTAGTAAAAGTAGGAGCTGTTTAAAAAAAACTAATAAAAAAAAGATAGCCAACTAACCTGATTAAAAAGGAGAGGAAAACCAGATTGTATGAAAGATGGAAAAGTAGAATTCACAGCAATTGAAGATGAAATTATCAGAAGGTATTTTGGCCAATTTTATTTTAACAAAACTGAAAACTAAGAAGAAATAGATGAATACTTACAAAAATGTAGAATTCCACATTAACAAAAAGGAGAAATAGACTATTCAAGTAACCTGATATCAGAAAAAGAAATTGAGTAAACCATAAATGAACTACCAAAGATAAAGACTTTGGGACCAGATAGATTTATAAGTGAATTCTAACAGACATTCAAAGAACGACTAATTCCATTAATACATAAACTATTTGAAATAACAAGTAAAGAAGGCATCCTTGCAATCCTTTTCTATGATACAAATGATACAAATATGGTCTTGATACTTAAACCAGGGAGAAATAAGACCAAGAAAGAGGACTATTGACTAATATCTCTAATAAACATTGATGCAAGCATTATAAATAAAATATTAGCAGGTAGGCTACAGTAATGGATTAGGAAAATTATGCTCTCTGACCAGGTTGGATTTATACCAGGAATGCATGGTTGGTTCAACATAAGGAAGGAGGAAGTGAGGAATGGGTGGAAAGGAAAGAAATAAGCATTTATATGGCATGTACTAAGTGCCAGTCACTGTGCTGTGACAGTATAAGAAATATGATCTCATTTGATCCTCATAACAAATAAAGAAAATCATTAATAGAATAAACCATGTTAATAATTTAAATAATTAAGCCACATAATAATACTAATAGATGCTTAAAAAAAAGCTTTTGACAAAATCCATTAGCTGCTTCTGTTAAAAACACTAGAAACATAAGAACAAATGGACCTTTCTTTGAGGTTGTAAATAATACCTGTCTAAACACAAGAGTAAACATTATACATAACGAGGGGATTAGAACATCATGTGGTGAGTTGTGGGAACTGAATGGACCACACTGACTCCATCTAGTGACTCCATTCTGGATCTAGCTCAGTTCTATTTCCACTTATTACAGGTCTAGTCCAACTTCTGACTTGTGAGAAAACTTAATTCACTTGTGGGAATTGGGAGAAAACCTTCTTGCATTGTTTGAACCTGGCCCTGCCTGGCTGGGAAGCTGGACCACCCGTAGTTGCTGCTTGGAGACCCTCAACCAAGGGCCTCCATTACGCTGTCCCAGTCAGATCTGAAGATTGATACAAAGAGTTTTTTTGCAATTAGACATCTCAAGCAACCTCTGTCTTATCTGAAAATTGGCTCAGTATTGATCAATCAGTTATTATTTCCATGTTCCCTTGATTGTTTATAGATTCTTTGCGTGGATTCAGGGAGGAGTGGAAGCCATTGATCCTATCAGCTGGTGCTGCTTAACTCCCTTTCCTCTTCTAGTCTCACACTGGGGTGCTTCAAGGCCTCCTAAACTTTCCTGCCTCCAGCCCCACCAGTCCCTCCACCTCAGCTGATTGCTCAATATACCTGGATTCTAGAATTTCTTTACTTCTTTTTGCTTTTCTCTGTGACCCCAAACATTTCAGTGTCCAAGGAAGAGCAGAACAAGAAGACTGAACAGGGAAACTGGGAGCCTGGACTCATTCTCACCATCTCTCAGGTTTCAAACTTAAAATGTACCAATGGGCTTTCCTAGACACTCCCCCCCTCATCTGCCCGTTCCTCAGATGGCCACCAGGGGCTGTCTAGATCCCTGGCCTCTGCCTGTAGGTATGCCCCTTGCCAGACCCAACCTTGCCCCCCAGTACTACTTAGTTTCCTCTTCCATCTCAAACTTACTGGTACTTCAGGGCCCACTTACCAAATGCTCTCCTGACTGACCACTTCCTCCTATCCTCTTCAGCTGACCACTGGGGCCACTTGGGTTTTCTTGCCTGCCCAACCTTGTGTTTTTGCCTTTTTCCCATTTTGCTACTGAACCTCTAGGCCTGCCTTTGGGCTCAGGGGTTAAGGCCTGCCTAGCACATACCTCTAACGGCGTTGGTCAGCATCTGGCTGGTTCTCACAGGCAGCACATGGATGTAGTCAATGCCTGTCCTCTCTGACACAGTCACTTCCACACTGAGATTTGGTACACTTGGCCAGGTCTGACACTCACAGCATGCTGGTGTTTTCCCAGGAGGCGAGGGAGCAATTCTTCACAGGTCAAGAAATATGTTACCTCTCCACCCACAGCTACACTTGTGGAAATTTTGAACTTCTTGACCTCGTCATCTCTGGGGATGGAGGGATGATGGGAAGGTGACAGGAGAATTAGTCATTGTCATTATTTCCTTCCCTTCATTGCCTTGTTTGTTCACTCCTTCATTCATTCAGCCCTTTAGAATTCATTCATTTTCCTCATTCAGTCTCATGAGTCTCATGAATTCATTCACTCTCAGCTGGTTCTCTCATTTTACTCTCCAGGTCACTTACCAACTCATGTGCACAATCATACATATATTTAGTTAGTCAGCTATTCCCTTGGTCATTCATATTCTTTAACAACAACTCACTTTTTCCTTCATTATAAATGTTCTAAATCCTGTGCCCAAGCCAGCTGTGGCACCCGACCCTCCTGTGCCTACTTGTGCTCTGGAGGGGCCAGGAGACACCCTCCCCTGGCCCCCCCCATTTGTAGATAGAACTTCAGAACTAGGAAAATAAGAAGCTGTTGATTCTATGACCTCCACCACTTTGTATTTGCCTACAGACATTTAAGGGGGGAGGGCAAGGATCCTCCATTTTGGAGGGCCAATGGGAGTAAGGAAGTGAAGGAGCTGATAGGGACCCATTATTGCCAGGGTCGTGCAAGTCAACGAAGTTTGCAAGCTGAATGAGGGCCACATGGACTTTGGTGAAGCCAGGACTACTTTAAGACACTTCAGACTACTACAGATTTGGAAAGAAATAATTTGGAGAGCCTTACTGGCTGGCCGCATGGGCAGTGGTCCACCCTTGTTTCTTGGCTTCCTCGTACATTTTCTTAGCCTGGTGCTTCTCTTTGACTTCAGCTGTGTAGACTTTGCCATTGATGATCCTGATGGGGAAAGAGGGAGTCAAGGAATTACTAGGCTTCACAGGATCTCTGAGCTGGGAGAGTAACCACCTGAGGCCCAGACCCAGAGAAGGTAGAGAAGTTTTCTAAAAGCACACAGTGAGTCACTGGCCAAAGTTAGCCTCACTGGCCTCTTTTATTTATTGGGAGGCAATCAGGGTTAAGTGACTTGCCCAGTGTCACACAGCTAGCGAGTATCTGAGGCCAGATTTGAACTCAGGTCCTCCTGACTCCAGGGCTGGCATTCTATCCACTGCACCACCTAGCTGCCCCTCACTGGCCTCTTTTAACCAAACCATGCCAAGCTCTTCCCTGAGGCCTTACTAATCCTATTTTTTCTACTCCAACCAACTGTGCTATTTTACTGATGAGTAAACTGAGGGTCAGAAAACTGGCTTTCCCAAGATCACACAGAAATTTCTGTGGAAGTAATACTTCAACTAGATGACCCCTGAGGGACTTTCCAATTGTGCTATTCCATGACTCTTACCTTCTCTTTATCCTCTTCATTATTCTGTCCTTCCCCCTACTCCAGAACCTTTCAAGGCTCCATATTGTCTATAGGATAAAGTTTAGACTCCTCGATCTGGCATTCGATGTCCTTCCTTCCTCCTATGTTTCCCAACTCCAGGCAGATTGATGCCTATCCTGTTTCCCCTGCCCCCACTCCAGCTCCTTCCCATTTTCATACTTTTGCTCAAGCTTTCCCAGCCAATTCTTGTCCATAGACTGATTTCCTCCTCCAAATCAAATCTATCCTTCAAGGCTCAACCCAAACTCCATCTTCTTTGGGAATGCTTACCTCAAACAAATCCTCCCCTCAACCCATACTAATTCATTCATTTAATATCACACTATGTGCGGAGTACTATGGGCCATGGTCCAGGAACTAGAAAGTCTGCACTGTTCCCTCCCCCTCCAACTTTGCCTTCTTGGTAACTGTGCGCTAACTGCAGCTCAGGCACGTAGCAGGGAATGAGACAGCAAGCAACAACCAATGCTTGCAACTTAGGACACACAAGAGGCAGCCAGGGCTGATGAGTGAGAAAGGAAGCTGGTCTGAAGCCTGCTTCTGTGTGACTATGGGAAAGTCCCTTAGCCTTTCTGAGTGTGCATTCTCTGGTCAGAGTAGCTAGGGGTGGGACCACAGGGCACAGAGCCCTGGGCTTGGAGTTAGGAAGACCTGATTTCAAATTTAGAATAAAAAATAGCACCTACCTTGCAGGGTGGAAGTGAGGATCAAATGAAATCTTATTTGTAAAAGGGCTCAGCCCGGCACCTGGAGCGTAGTAGGTGCTTAAAAAAAGCTTATTCCCTCCCCTCCTCCCATCTAGAAATGGCAAGAAAATCCTTCTAACTCATAGGTATAAAGGAAGAAAGGATTTTGGAAATCTTAAAGCACTGTATAAACAGACTTGGTACCCTTCAGGATCTTTCTATTTGTTTTATCTCCTCTCTAAACTCTAGCCAGGGCAGTAAGATTAGAGATGCAGAGAAAACCAACATCAGCTCATAAACTGGGTAAATTAGTCTTTTTGGAACTCACACATGTCCTTGGAACTTTTCCAGGCCAAGGGAAGGAACACCCAGTGGCACAGTGCCTGGTACAGAGTAGGCACTTAATAAATTTATCCATTGACTCTCTCTCCCTCTCCCTCCTCCATCTTTCTCTGCCTTTTTTCTTCTCTCTGTCTCTCTGTCTCTCTGTGTCTCTGTCTCTGTCTCTCTCTCTCTCTCTCTCTCTCTCTCTCTCTCTCTCTCTCTTTCTCTCTATGCCTCCCTCTCCCCCTGTCCCCTCCTCTCTGTGTCTTTCTTTCGGTCTATCTGTCTCTTTTCTCCCAAAATGGACTATATCACCATGGGGAATAAAATAAACTTTTTGTACCCTTTTCCCAGTGCCCCAGAACAGGCCTCTCTCTGTTGCTGGCCCTGGAAATGGGTCTCTGTAGGATGTGTGCTTCCCTGACCAGAGAAGGCAGGTCTCTGGCCTCCACACAGAGAGTACTTTGTGCACCAAATTTAAGGGCACAGAAAGCTCTTGCTGACAGAAGACCTCTCTGTAATGGAGGCAGTCTTCTGCTCTCCTTTCTTCCCTCCAAAAGGGAGAGACTAAATTGGGTTTATTTTAAAAATCTAATGTATTTATTTTACTCAATCAAACAGTGACATTCCCCTTGGCATTTGAGGCCTTCCTATAACATAGCCCACCCTTTCTGTTAAGTGTTCCTCCTCCCTTCCTTCACTGCTTCCTTCACTCCATCCAGGCCAGTCACAGGCTCCCAAGATTTAGAGCAGGGAGGGGCTGTAGAGACTACCTCATCTAATCCAACTGGCTCATTTCACTCTTAAGTGTAAGGTGGAGGGTGTGAGGCTGAGGTCCCTGGCGGGGGGGGGGGTGATAGAGGGTCCTAGGCTGGCAGGGCTGAGAACACCTTGGGGACCCTATAGTCCTACCCCTCATTTTTGAGATCAGGAAATTGAGCTCAAGATAGGAAGGGATTTGTGCGAGAGCTCACTCGTAGGAGGTTTAAGTATGACACATCTTGGAATCTCTATTGGAAAGGACTTTGGAAGATATGGGAACTCCCTCTAGAGAATCTGTCCAGGCCCCTCTTTAAAACCTTAGGGCCTGGAGTCAGAGAGGTCTGAGTTTGAATCCAGCCTCACATACTTCCTAGCTGTGTGACCCTGGGCAAGTAATTTCATCTCTCTGAGCCTCAGTTTCCTCAACTGTGAAATGGGGGTCATAATAATACCTACTTCCCAGGGCAGAGAGATTACAAATGTAAAGCACTTGTAAGCATTAAGGTGTAATAGAAATTCCGGCTATTATTATTACCTGAAGTGATAGGAAGCTCAATACTTTTGAAGGCACCTTATTTGTTTTTTTGCACAGCTTATTGAAGAAGTGATTCCTTTTAGTTATCTCCCTTTTCACTTCTCCCTGTTGGTCCTAATTCTTCCCTCTGGGCCAATTTTTCTAGATCAGTTATTTAAAGACAGCTATCTTCTCTTTTCTCTGGTAAAGTTCTCTGGCTCCTCCAACCCATGTTGTTGTTGATGATGATGGTAATAATAATGGCCTTGCTATCACACTAATAATAATAATATCGTCACAACAACCCTAGGAGTCAGGTGCTATTATGATCCCCATTTCACCCATTGGGAAATATGTGCTGAATTGAATTTGTTCTTTTTAGTTCACTGCCCATCCTTGTTGCCTGAGCTTGTCAATCCCCCTCCTAAAATTTGGCGTCCAAAGCTGTCCTCCCTCTTCCCAGGCCCCCACAGCCCCTATGGAACCTTTGAGCCTCCTCCCAGATACTTACATGGTTAAGTTGGAAATGAAGGCCAGGCCAGGCAGATCCAGGTCAAAGATGGCTTCCTGGGCCTCCAAGTGTGGGTTGGTCATAACAGACACAACCTGGGTGTGGGCATAGTGGGACACAATGGTTGAGCGGATGGAGAAGCAGGTCACTGGAAGCTAGAGCCAGAAGCCGAGGCTTTAGAGGTTGGCTTGGAGGTATTCCATCAGCCTGGATGTGGACCCAAGGAATGGGTTCACAGGTCCCAAGGAGTCAAAGAATCTGAGGCTGGGCTCCCAGACACCTTCTAGACTCCTCTTCAACTCTCTGGTCAAGGCAAATGTTACCTCTCCACCCACAGCTACACCTGTGGAAATTTTGAACTTCTTGACCTCGTCATCTCTGGGGATGGAGGGATGATGGGAAGGTGACAGGAGAATTAGTCATTATCATTATTTCCTTCCCTTCATTGCCTTGTTTGTTCACTCCTTCATTCATTCAGCCCTTTAGAATTCATTCATTTTCCTCATTCAGTCCCACGAGTCCCATAAATTCACACACTCTTAGCTGGTTCCCTCACTTTACTTTACTCATTTTATTTCCAGGATCCTTGGGCCCTAAAGTCCAAGAACGTTAGGAATGGAAAGGACCCGAGGGGCCAAGGTTAGGGAGGTGCAATTCATCCAAGCCTCCACAAAATTCCTGTCGGTCCTTTTGGTTCCCTCCGCTGACCATGACCTCTATTTCTCTCTCCTCACAATGTATGAGAGAACAGGAGGCTGGTGGGTCAGTCAGGATCCAATCTGTGTTTGGCTCAGTGTTGGTCTCTGCTGAGGTGTGGGGACATGGGGTTAGCTAGTGCTAGGCCCCTTGAGGCTCTGGGGGTTGTGGACTCACCTCTCTGTGGGCCATGAGGCTCCCCAGGACTTGCCCGAAGCTCAGAGCAACAAATATCACCAGAGAAAAGCTGAAACACCCCTGGACTCTCAGGAGCTTCATACTTCAGCCTCTCTGAGCTGGGCCAGAAAGGCTCTGAAAAGCAGATTCGAAAACCTACACATTTTGTAAAAACACCTTTGTCCTTGGAACCCTAGAGGAATTTTCCTTTGATCCTCCCTTCTCTTGAGGGGGCTGGAGTGTGGACCAGAAAGAGTCAGCAACCTTCTCAAAGCAGCTTTCATTCCCACACAAGCAGGGATTGTCCAGCTCTGCACCAGTCAGCCACCGGCTCTGGATCCAATTCAATTTTCCTCCTTCTTCCTCTTGCCAGCTCCCTTTTCTCTCTGTATCCCCCTCACACCTCCATCTCCTTTCCATCTTTGGCCTCATCTCTTTCTCTTCTTTAGGCCACTTCATGCCTCCCCCTCCTACCTTCTGCCTCTCATGCTTTTGCTTCCTCTGGCTTCATCTGTTTGTTACCTCCTCTCAACCTCTTCCCTCTCTTTCCTCTTCTTTCTCCTCCTGTCTGTCTTTTTCACTCTCAAATGCCCTCAAACTCTTCCTATCTTCTCTGCTCTCTCTTCTCTGTTACCCAGTTTTCCTGTTTTTGTCTATCTCTTTGTCTCTGTCTCTGGATTCTTTCTTCTCTTTCTTGCTTTCCTCCCTTCTCAGTCCACCATCTTCTGTCTTTATCTGTTTATAGCTGGCTTTGCACTCTGTCTTTCTCTTGGTTAAATTCCTCTTTGTCTCCCCTTCTATTATCTCAGTCTACCCGATTCTGTTAAATAACGAGAAGAGACTGGGCACTGGTCAGCAGTCAGGAACAGAATGGGAACTCCTGGCCAGTGGGGATGATTTCATTCCTTGTCCTTGTATTCCCTGTGCCTAGCACAGTGCCCAGACACATAGTATGTGCTTAATAAATGCTTGTGGACTAAAACCTAACGGAGCTTGACCCAGAGCTACCCTTTCAGCTGAACAAGTTTGGATATGCTTCCTAATTAGGACAGGAGTCAAGTCCTAAGGACAGCTGCCTTGAGGATGGCAGGTGCAAGGCAAGGACAAATTCAAGGCTCTGGGGAAAAGAGCAGATCCTGACACCCATCTGTCCTCCAAACCCCTTTCCAGCTCTCAGCTCTGGCCAAAGAAGCTTCAGTGCCAGCCTCTGATCAGGCCCCCACCTTTGCTCATTCCATTCCCTCACTGTCTGCCTTGGGTGAGTTCTGGCCTGTCATGTTGTCCCCACCCTTGCCAACTCAGCCAAAGGTCCTCCTCTCTTTCCTGACCCTTCTGGCTCTTTTCCCTAGGATTGAAAATGCCATGCAATCCCAATGCGTCACTCTTGCAAATAAAGAATGTCAGAGCAGGAAGAGTCCTTGGAGAACGTGACTATCTGACAGAGAAACAAACGGAGGCCTAAGCAGGGAAAGGGCCCAGTGCTCCTTAACTGATTACATAGTTTGACTTGTTTTCTTTTGCAGATATTTAGTCAGTCAGAAACATTTATTAAGCATCTACCATATGCCAGGCACTGTGCTAAGCTTCTGGAATTCGGCTTCCCTATCTAGAATGTATCTTTCTGCTTGGTTATACACCGCAGATGAGATACTCAGTGACCATGGGGATTATTGGAGTTAAACTCCTGTAGGAGTTTAAAAATACCAGGAGAATGAGTAGAAGAAGGTTGGTGGGGAAGTAGAATAGGAATTCTGTGGGAACAGGCATTGAGTCAGCATGTGAGTAGAAATGACCATAATTAGGGAAAAATAAGGGAAAAAAGTCAAGTACAAATGTCTCAGGGACCCCCAGTGGTCCACAGACCATACTTTGAGAACACTGTGTTAGAAAATGATGGATGAGGCAGCTAGGTGGTGTAGTGGATAGAGACCTGGAGTCAGCAGGACATCAGTTTAAATATGAACTCAGACACTTGCTAGCTGTGTGACCCTGGAGGAGTCACTTAACCCCAACTGCCTCCTTGTCCCACCCCCTCCCCCAAAGAAAATGATGAACGGCAACTCAGGGGGAGGAACCTGAGAAAGCAAGTAGCTGCAGGGCTCTCTCTTCCGTCTTCTTTTCCACCTTGTGTACCAACAACCAATGGCTAAACACAATGGAAAAGGAAGGTTGGCAGAGAAAGAGAGGAGGATTGGAGAAGATGGCTGCCCCTCCTTTTGCTGCTAATGTTACGGAAGGAGGAGTCTGAAGAAGATGCCCAATCGGGTGAGTGGCTAGAGGGACACTTAACCTTCCTTTTCTACACCATTCTACCCAAGGTCAGAAAATACAAGAGAAGGTTAAGAATAAAGAATGGAGTGAGAAGGTTCAATGAGGAGGTTGTATGAGACTGGGGCTCTCTTCATTTTTCTTCTCCCTTCCTCTTTGTAGGCCAAAGATGGAAGGATGGAATATGCTAAAAAAAGGAAAGGTGGGGAAAGAAGAGAGTGGAGGCATCCTTCTCCATCTTGCTTGCTGATCACATCCATATAGGCAGGCTAAGAAGGGCTAGAAGGGATGGCTTCTCCCTTCTGTTTCATGGGCTAATGACTGAGGCTGAAACGTAAGGAAAAGGAGGAAGGGTAGGGAGACAAGAGTTGTTTCAGGGTGGGGGAGGCTTTGCATAGGAGTGGGGCACCTAACTCTAAGGCTCATATCTCATTGTGCTTGTGAATGGCCCAGAAGGAGGAGGCAACCTGGGCAGGCTAGGAATGACTGAAGGGGATCACTCATTCCTCTTCTCCCCACCTTTTTTCAAGCCAAAGGACAAAGGTGGAACCTGTTAGAAGAGGAGGAAGGGTGGGGAGAGAAGGGATTGCCCCCCCCTTTTGCAGTAGGGAGTCCCTCCTCATTGGGCTTATTGATGGTGCAGAGGGAGGAGTCTAACTGGGTAGGCTAGGAGGTTCTGGAGGGGCTAACTCCTCCCTCTTCTCCTCCCTTTCCCCTCATGGGCTAATACGTGGGGATGGGACGAGCTAAAAGAGGAGGAAGGGTAGGGAGAGAAGGAAGATTGGCGGGGGGCAAGGTTTTCCTCCCTCCCTTTCCCCTTCCCCAAGCCCCGCTCCTTCCCTTTTTTGCCTCTTGCTACTGGCGGCGCTGAGGAGGGAGGAGCCTTCGAGAGGCTAGGATGATGGTGAGGGAAGGAAGGAGGGGGTGTTGCTCCCCCCCCCCCGCCGCTGCAGGCACCTGGGGGAAGGGTGATTGAGGGACAAGCCTTGCTAAAAGACTCCTCTCTTTCTGCAGATGGTGTTGCAGGAGGGAGTAGTCTCGAGGCTCAGTGGCAATTTCTCTGCCTGTCCACTGGGCTCAGAGTCAGGAACCTGAGCTTGAACAGATCCTGCCTCCAACCCTTGGTGGTTGTGTGGCCCTGGGCCAGTCCCTGAGTCTGTTTCCTGATCTGTAAAATAACAGCACCTTCCTCCCAGGGTTGTCGGGAGGCTCAAATGGCAAGGGTTCCCACTATGTGCCGGACGTTGCGCCAGATGCCCCCCACCCCCCACTAAGGGTCTGCCCTGCTGGAGTGGGGCAGGAAGTAAAGGTGGGGACCAGTCCTGTCAAGGCTTGGCATTGAGGCATTTCCTGCCCTTGCCGTCCTGCCCTGCAGCTGATGCCACTGAGCGTGAGGCAGAGCTTTGTTAGGGTGCGTGGTAGGACAGGGTTTCTCCAGTCACACAAACCTTCATTTTGAGGGCCTCGGGCAGAGCCGTCAAACAGTGAGCAGGCTAAACCTGGTGACCTCTCTGGGGCTCCCTTGAGCCTCCCGAGTCTATGGTGGCAAAGTGGAGCCCAAAGCAGGCTTGGCCAGAGTGGCAGTAAATCCAACAACCCTAACCCTAACCCTAAATGCCTCCGACTCTAGTGCTAGTGACGTTGGGGAGGGAGGAGCCAGCAGGCTGGAGCTGGACAGGGGCTGCAGATTGGCGATATGCTTTCTCTCTTTCTCCTCTTTCCTTCCCTCTTGCCTTGGTTCCCACAGTCTAGGGCTCCCATCTGCCAGCCTAAGGTGGAGAGACGTGGGCAGGAGCTGTGGCCACCAGGGTTCTCTTTGTCTCCCTGGAAGACTGGAAGGCTGGAAGGTTGGGGGTGTGAGATGTGAGGGGGGAGGGGGGAGGTGGGAAGGGGGGGGAAGGGTAGTGGCCGGGAAGGGCCCTTTGTCACCAGCCCTAATCCCCCCTCTCCCTCCCCTTCCCCTGTGCTGCCCTGGGCAGTGAGGAGGCAGCAGCTGCAGCCGCAGCAATTAGGGTTAGGGTTAGGGTTAGGGTCAGCCGCAGTGGCAGGTGCTGCCACCACCCTAAATGCATGCCCCCTCATTCCTGAAGGTCTGCTCCTTGATGACAGGGGTGTTTTCTCTCTGGTCTTTGTGGCTTATCCTCAGCCCTTAGCACTGTGCCTGGCGCAAGAAAAGGGCTTAGTAAATGCTTGTCAATGGATTTAATTTGATCGATGGCACTCCAGCCCGGCTGGGTTACTGGCAGACCCCTGAGCACTTCCATACCTGGCCGCCTCTGAGGTGCTGGGAATGCTTAACAACCGGCTCTGTAAGAGGGACACACTTTGAAGTTGAATCTGCATTATTGACATGGACTCTACCACTTCCTCAGCTCTAGTCCTCAACAGAACAATCCCTGAAGGGATTTTGCCAACTTCCTTGAGTTGTAAAGGCTTCCAGAGGTGTCAGATTTGCCAGTGGTTGGCTCCAGCTTCCCCTGCCTTTGTTAGCCCTGTCTGTTCCCTGTGCCTGCTATGGCCTGCCACCCAATCTCTGCTACAGTCTTCCTAGCCCTCCATGGTGCAGCTCCCTTCTCCAGGGAGCCTTCTCTGCTTCCCTCAGCTAAGAGAGGTGGTATTTCATCCTGGCCTTAAAGGGCGACTAGGATTTCCCCAGGGCGGGGCGGGGGGGGGGGGAGGCCTGGGGGGGCATTCCAAGTGGTGGGTTTAGCACACTGAGGGTTTAGTGCATGGTTGGGTGTGGTTGAAGGGGCACAGGAAGTGAGGCTGGAAAGTAGGTTGGATTTGGGACCAGATGGGAGGGCCCCAAGTGACCTCGAGCTTGATTTTAAATTTGAGATAGATGGAAAACCAGCTGTACCGAATAATTCTCATGCCATATTCCTTCCAACTGACACCTAG